GCCCGCCCCAGAGCCAGGTGGGCCCGGGCCGCCTCCCTGGGCGGCAGCGTGAGGGAGCAAGTTGGTGGGGCGCCGGGTAGCAGCGCTCTGCCCTGGGAGGTGTGGGGGGCAGGGCAGTCGGGTGCAGGCCGCCTCTGCCCTTGGGGTGCCCATAGTGCACCCGGGAGATAAGATAGTGTCTTGCTGAGCAGTGGGAGCAAAGTTCAGGGTGACGGTGGCCGGGGGCGCTCTGAGGGGCCTCGCTGCCACCGGCCTGGGCTCACCGGCCCCTGGCCCTTCCTGCTGCCCGCTGCCCACTCCCTCTCCGTGGCGGCCGCTGCTGGGGCTCCCGGGGGGCCTTCCTGTGCACCAGGGGTGCTGACTGGGGGGGCCCCCGCCCCGACCGTGAGGGCGCGTCCTGCCCTGCACTGGGACTCCAGGGAGAGGCAGCGGGCGGCTGGGTTGCGGCTGGCCGAGCGCCGTTTCCCTCGACGTGCACGCCGCACATCTGTCCCTCAGCCAGGTGGCCCCCGGGCTCGGGTCCCTGGGCCGGGCGGTGTGGCCTGGTCAGCGGGCTGGCTGACCTGGAGTGCGCCCTTCCCCCTCCAGCCCTCCTGGCTGCTTACTGCTGGCCGCCTCTCCTCTCCCCTTCCTCCTGGCCAGCGGCTTGGCCGTCCCCTCCCAGCGCTCCTTCTTCCTGCCCTGCAGGGCGTGGCTGTGGGGCAGGAGGCAGAGGGCGCCCTCTCTACTCTGCCCGGCCTGGCCGGGCTCCGTGCACCCCGGGCAGGGACCTTCTGCTGGGGCCTGGCCGGGCGAGCTCCCTCTCCTCTTCTGCCCTGGGTCCAGGGCTGGACGCGGCCTCGCTGGAGCGTGCCTCCTGCACCTGTGTGGCCCAGGCGTGGGCCTCCCTTGGGGCTGAGCCTTGCCACCTGACCCATTGCGCCGCAGGTCTAGAGCGGCCCCCATGACGGGATGGACCCGGGGAGCAGGGGGATCGCTGGGGGCATGGGGTGCGGTCAGCCCTTGCAGCAGTGGGGAGGTGACCCCACCGCGGGGCAAGGTGGACAGGCCCCTCCGCTTGGCAGCACTGGCCTGTCCTCTGACCCACTGCTGCTGGTGGCGTTGGCAGGGCTGGGCCTTTGTGAGCAGGGTGGGTCGTGGGCTTCCTGCCCCGGCAGCAGGTGGAGGGGCCTTGGCAGTGCAGTGTAGCTCCTGGCTGGCCCTGGGCAGGCCTGCTGGCGCCTCAGGAAAGCCACGTCCTCACCCGCCCTGCTTCGCCTTGGAGATGCGACAGCGGGGCCGGTGTGGCCTCTTGGAGACCCAAAGGGGGCAGGGGGCACTGTTGAGAAGCTGCGCCAGGCGGGTGTCCGTGTGCAGCAGTGTTGGCACGAGGTGGCTTCAGGGTGATTCCGGTGAGAAACAGAGACTTGCGGTGCGAGGGGCACCGGGGCCAGGCCCAGAGCCGCTCCTGTGAGGGAGGTGCACCTCTGACCCCTCCCCCGTCGAGCTGCTGTTGCCCAGGCCTGTGCCAGCCGGGAAGGCGGGTGTGGACCCAGAAGCGGGCTTGGGTGGGGGTCACAGCCTGGCTCCAGGACCCAGGAGAGACCTGGAGGGTGCGTGCGGGTGGGCGGCAGGGGGCTTGTCCTGGCCACCTGTCAGCCCCTGGCTGCAGGGCCGGTGTGAGCGGCCAGGGCGGGGCCGGGCCAGGAGCTCTGCAGAGGCAGGATGTGCGGGGGGCTGGCCTCCCTCTTGCAAAACCGCAGCCTTGCCCAATGCCCTGGGCCTCCCGGTGCCCAGAGCCAGGCTGGATGTGTGCCCACAGCCTGGGGCCAGGGTCCTGAGTCTCGCCCGGCCCGGCCCTCAGCCTCGGATGGCCCCGAGGGGCTGCGAGGCTTGCACGTGCTCCCCGGCACTAGGTGGGACCCCCCAGCCCGCAGGCAGCCCTTTCCCAGAAGCAGCTGCGTCCGGCCCACGGACACCACGCGGGAGTCACATGCAGGGGTCCTGGGGTCCAGAGCGGGGCTCGGGCTGGGTCCCGCGGCCTCTGGGCTGTGCTTTTGAGGGCCTGCGTGGGGCCGGCGGCGGGCGGGGCCGGGTGGTGGCAGGCGGCCGCTGGGCCAGGGCTCACCGGGTGTCCCCGCCCGGCCAGGTGCCACCGCCTGCAGGACTCTCTGTTCAGCTCCGACAGCGGCTTCAGCAACTACCGGGGCGTCCTGAACTGGTGTGTGGTGATGCTGGTGAGTGGGGCCGGGGGTGGCCTGGCCGGCCGGCCCACACGGTCTGGCCCTGGCAGGGGCCCGCTTGCGCCCGGTGGCCGCTCTGGTCCCTGGGGTGCCGGCAGGCCTTGGTCCCCGGCTGTGGCCTGCTGGGTGGCGACTGATTGGGGAGGCGCCGCGTGCGGGCTGGAGCCTCTGGCCTCTGGGCAGCCTTGGGGGCCTCCAAGGAGCCTCCTCTGTCCTGCTGCCCAGTCGTGCAGGCTCCCGCCCGAAGCTCTGTCCCTCTGGCCTTGGCTCCTGGTGCCCCAGGTGCACTGTCCCGGGGCTGCTTCCTGCCGGTTCCCCAGCGGCCAGCGCGACCAGCAGGAGGCCTCTGCAGCAGGCGCAGGACACCCACACCCGCGGTCCCAGGAGGCTGGAGGGACTCTGCCGGGGGCCTCGCCGGGGGTGGGGCAGGCAGCTGCCGGCTACAGGCGGTGGCCTCTGGAGGCCATTGCTGGTCTGGTGAGGCTGTCGAGGTCGCTCCTGCGGGGAGGCCCCTTGGCAGGTGTGGGCAGCGTGGCTTGGCAAGGGCCTTGGGCTTGGCCGACCGTTCGGTGCAGCTTCAGAGCCGGTCTCCCCTCTGGCCCCTGCAGAGTAGCCGCTGACCATTAGCACTGTGGCTCCTGCCTGCTGAGGGCTGCAGGACCGGCCACCGCCAGGCAGGGGACAGTGTGGGCCAAGGCCAGCAGGTCGGGTTTGGGATGGGGGTGGGGGGTGGCAGGCGCCCTGTTTCTGAGCCTCCTGGACGAGCAGGTCAGGCTATAGCACCCCTCACCAGCGCCCCTGCGCCAGGGCAGTGGGCAGACCAGTCCGGGCCAGAGGCAGAAGCTGTTTTGTGGGGGCTCACTCAGTCCTGGACGCCCCTCGCATTCAAAGACCTGGGCTTGGTGACCCGCAGGATTCTGGCCCGGCCTGGGGGTGGCGCCTCAGCGGCCCGGGCTCACGGGCTGCCGCCAGGGTCTGCCCTGCTGTAGAGCCAGGTGCCCAGCGGAGCACGTGGCGGCCTGTGACGACGGGCCGGTGGTGGCGGGCGGTCTGGGGCCGCTGGCGCGCACAGGCGCCGGGGCTGGCGCCCTGCCCGGGGCTTGTCCCGCGGTGCCCGCGAGGCGCTCTGGCGGGGGTTCAGGCCTCTGCCTCTTTCTTGCAGATCTTGAGCAACGCACGGCTATTTTTAGAGAACCTCATCAAGTGAGTGTCCTGCCCACGGGCTGGCGGTGCCTCCGCCTGCGAGGGCACCCCACTGAGGCGCCCCCACCCCCAGGTACGGCATCCTGGTGGACCCCATCCAGGTGGTGTCTCTGTTCGTGAAGGACCCCTACCGCTGGCCTGCGCTCTGCCTGATCATCGGTGAGCTGAGTCGGGGTGGGGGGTCGCGGGGCCCGGCCTGGGCCTGAACCTGCTCCTTGTGCTCCTGCCGCCAGTGGCCAACGTCTTCGCCGTGGCCGCCTTCCAGGTGGAGCGGAGACTGGCGGTGGTAAGCAGGGCCCGGGGCCACCCTGCCTGGCGCTCCCTCGGGGCGGGCGCCGGCCGCCGCTCACTGCTCTGCCCCCAGGGCGCCCTGTCGGAGCGGGCGGGGCTGCTGCTGCACGCGGCCAACCTGCTCACCATCCTCTGCTTGCCCGCGGCCGTGGCCTTCCTGCTCGAGTCCATCACTCCAGGTGAGACCCCACCCCGTCCTGGGCCCGGGGCGCCGGGGGCCCGCCCGCCCGCGCGCCAGCGGAGCTGAGTTTGCCTCCCCGCAGTGGGCTCCGTGCTGGCCCTGGCGGTCTACACCATCCTCTTCCTCAAGCTCTTCTCCTACCGCGATGTCAACCTGTGGTGCCGCCAGCGCAGGGCTCGAGTCAAGGCCAAGGCTGGTGAGGGTCAGGGCGGGTCGGGCGGGCAGGCCAAGGCGAGGACGGCACCCTGCCGCCGAGGGCCTCACCCGCCGCCCGGGCTGCCCGCAGCTGCTGTGGGCAAGAAGGCCAGCGGCGGAGCTGCCCAGGGAGCCGTGAGCTACCCGGACAACCTGACCTACCACGGTGAGGCCCCGAGGGCACAGGGTGGGGGGCCCCGGCCGGCCCCGGCCAGCCCCGGAGGTGCCAGCGCCCTCTGCCCCCCAGATCTCTACTACTTCCTCTTCGCTCCCACCCTGTGCTACGAGCTCAACTTTCCCCGCTCCCCTCGGATCCGAAAGCGCTTCCTGCTGCGGAGGCTCCTGGAGATGGTGAGCTGGGCGCCCCTCCTGCGGGGGGTGGGGGCGGGCCAGGAGAGCCCCCCCAGAGCCTCAGCCAGCTGCTCTTGCTCTTCCAGCTGTTCTTCACCCAGCTCCAGGTGGGGCTGATCCAGCAGGTGAGCGGGGCAGGCCGGGCGGGCAGGGCGGCCCCGGGGGGCGGGCAGGGC